CATATTTACTTTTATGCAGGTCTGTGGAAAGACATTTGCAGACATTTAGTCACCGGGATAGGAAAAAGGTAGAAGAATTATTGCTAATGTTTTCTCTAATTGCTCCAATTTGTTTTGCAATAGGGCATCGATACTGCATTTCTAAACCCGGTTTTTGATCGTGGTTCAGATGCCAGACTTATTGAACTGGTTCGGATGGTGTACGTGGGATGCTTTCTATACTGATGTCACTTCGGAAGGAGTGAAGCAGGGTTTGCAAAGGTAACACACAAACACTTCACGTGGAATCAATGGTGTCAAATTTGGATTGGCCACATTTTTAGCCCATTGCAAGGGTCCAAGATGGGCCACGGAGAAATGTGGAGGTCTGGGGCCAATTGACACCACTACATGGAGTGGTTGACATGATTTTGGCTAAGGGATACTAACCAGTGATATCTTATTGTAGTTTCGAGCAAGGAGGAATTGCCCCGAAGTTTGTCATCATTGATGATGGATGGCAATCAGTTAGTATGGATCCAGTTAGTATTGCATCTAAAGCTGATAACACAGCCAAGTGAGTCAAAGAACTGAATTTTATTTGGATTTCTTGCCTTCCTCTTCCTGGCTGACAGTTTCCATCACTCCTTTCCCTATCCAGCTTTGCAAACAGGTTAACTAACATCAAAGAGAACCACAAATTTCAGAAGGATGGCCAAGAGGGTCACAGAGTGGAAGATCCAGCAATGGGAATTCAGCATATTGTCAACAAAATTAAAGATGAACATTCTGTAAAGTATGTTTATGTCTGGCATGCATTAACGGGGTACTGGGGTGGAGTCCGACCTGGTGGCGATGGACTAGAACATTACGACTCTAAGCTGGCTTACCCCATCTCTTCTCCTGGCGTACAGTCAAACGAACCTTGTGATGCATTGAATAGCATCACCAAGAATGGGCTTGGTCTTGTGAACCCTGAGAAAGTCTTTAACTTCTATAATGAATTGCACTCATACCTTGCATCGTCTGGTATTGATGGGGTTAAGGTAGATGTTCAGAACATTCTTGAAACCCTTGGGGCGGGCCATGGTGGACGGGTAAAGCTTGCCCAGAAATACCACCGAGCATTAGAGGCCTCGATTTTGAGGAATTTCCCTGATAATGGTATCATTTCTTGCATGAGTCATAACACAGATGGTTTGTATAGGTAATCATCAGTTTCTCTCTTTACATTTGAATTCCTTTCACATATTTCTTAGCTAAAAAATTAAATTATTGATAAAATTTTGTGTTGGATTTCAGTGCAAAGCGAACAGCTGTTATTAGAGCATCAGATGATTTCTGGCCGAAAGATCCAGCATCGCACACGATCCACATTGCATCAGTTGCTTACAACACTGTTTTCTTAGGGGAGTTTATGCAGCCAGATTGGGATATGTTTCATGTAAGCTGATGACTTGATCAAATGTTTGTGGCCTTAGTCTTGAGAAATCGATATACTAATTTGTTATATGAACGGCAGAGTTTACACCCAATGGCAGAATACCATGGAGCCGCACGTGCTGTGGGAGGCTGTGCTATTTATGTCAGGTGCAATGAATATTGTTGAGCTCTCTCTCTCTAAAAGCTTAAATTATTAGTAAGGAAACAAAATTACTTGTAGTTACATTGTATGACGATATATGTTTCGCGACAATTTACTTTTTCTCCCATTGGACATCAATTATGTGCAGTGATAAGCCTGGACAGCACGATTTTAATCTTCTCCGAAAGCTTGTACTTCCTGACGGTTCCATATTGAGGGCCAAATTCCCTGGAAGACCAACAAGGGATTGCTTGTTTTCAGATCCTGCCAGAGATGGAAAGAGGTATTTTAATGAATTTTAACGAATAACAATTCTTGAAGTTTCATTTGTTTGAATAACACCTTGTATTTTCATTACAGTTTGTTAAAAATTTGGAATCTAAATGATTTCAATGGAGTTGTGGGGGTGTTCAATTGCCAAGGAGCAGGTTGGTGCAGAGTTGGAAAGAAGAATCTCATCCATGACGAGCAACCTGGCACTGTAACTGGAATTCTTAGATCTAAAGACGTCGATTACTTGCCTAGAATTGCTGATGAGCGATGGAGTGGAGACGTCGTAGTTTATTCTCATCTTCGTGGTAATTTTTACAGCTTCATAACTTATAACTGATATAGGATTAAATGGTAAATTCTATAGAATACCGATTGGACTTGTTAAGTTTTATGTTTCCGAGGGTCTGAGTGTTGGGTTGTTCAAAGGACGCAAATAAGGACGTTTAAGGTGGATGTACATTCATATTATATTGGATAAACGACGAGTTAGTGTCATTGAGGACACAATGACGACTTAAGTGATTTGATCATGTTTTGCACTCATATAAAATACTCCTGCAATCTTGGTAAAATAAGCGTTAGGTTTTGATACCCAATAAATTTGGACGATGATTTTAAAACAGTATTGGATAATTTATACCAACACCTTAGTGATAGATCAGGAAACAACTTGGGTCATTAAAAACAGCTTAATTAAGTTAATGTAGCTCGTGATGCTCCACATTGTTGATGATCCAAGTTGTGGTTATTGAGTTAAATTATTAGTTGGATGGTGATAAGCATAACCCATTTATTTCTGGTAAGTTGGAACTTTCTGTTGCTCCATTTAGAGTGGAGTACTTGGCCCAAATTGGTGACTAATTGATCATCTTTTTTTCTCCTAGTCGTTTTCTTATTGTGTGTAATTGCAGAGAGTTTGAAATACATAGTGAGGATCCGGCTTGGTTTGAGATCTACNTTTCTCCTAGTCGTTTTCTTATTGTGTGTAATTGCAGAGAGTTTGAAATACATAGTGAGGATCCGGCTTGGTTTGAGATCTACTGTTACTACCTCTTTGTTTTCTCCTCCCTTTGTTGCTGCAAGAACCACCATATTGTCTCTTCCTTAGTGCAAGTGTGAAATAGTTGAGGGTCAAGCCTCCTTGATTGGTATTTGTTTAGTTGAATAACTGAGTCTTGAATTCAAGCTCAGTTATTCAACCAAACGAACACTAACTGAGAAAGCTCGATTCATAACTTTTTCTCTCACACTTGGTTGCCACAAGCTTTATACCCACCAAGGATGACGATGGCGATTATTACAATATCACGAAAGGCAGAAGAAAGCAAAGAGAGCAATGGTTGAATCTCAAAGAAAACCTTTCAAGACGACTGCCTCTCTTCTTGCCTCAATTGTAAATGCACACGGATTGGCTGGGAAGAGGCAAATGATATATAGCATTAGCCATTAGGTTAGATACTAGGGTCAAAATTCACTCCTCTCCGAATGGGCCAGGACCAAGTGACCCAACAAACCAAAGAATGGGCTTAAAATATCACCACCAATCCACGGCCAATCGATAACTACAACTTGGGCCATCTGAAAAGCGTTGGCCACGAACAACAGTAACTTAATTAAATTGTTTCTAGTGACCCTAGTAGTTTCAGGATCGAGTCATTGTGTTGTCGCCTAGATTTATTGAGTATCAAAATTCAACAATAAGTCAAAAGAGGGAGGCTGGACAAAACTATGACCTTTTGCAGTTGCTAGTCAATCTAGTAGTTAACCAGACGGAGTAACGTAACGAAATTCATATAGTCGACCCTATATTTATTCAAAATGAGGCTTAAATCTCTTCTTTTTTTGTTGTATAATGTTTAACTGATCTTCTCGTGTCCATTGCAGGAGACTTGGTTTATCTTCCGAAAAACACTTCTCTACCAGTGACTATGAAAGCACGCGAGTACGATGTCTTTACAGTCATTCCTGTCAAGGAAATGTCCAACAGAACTAAGTTTGCTCCTATAGGACTCATCAAAATGTTCAACTCTGGAGGAGCAATTAAGGAACTAAACTATGAAATGGACAGGACTGGAACTGTATGTCTAAAAGTTCGTGGATGTGGTCTATTCGGAGCCTATTCAACAGTTCGACCAAAGAGAGTAACAGTGGATGCTGAGGAAGTGAAATTTGAATACGAAGAAGCCTCTGGATTCATCACCCTTTCTTTGAGCATTCCAGAGAAAGAGTTATACCTTTGGAACGTCTGTATTGAACTGTGAAAAGATTGTTTTCACTTCAGTATCTCAAATTGTTGCAGAGAAAATTCGTTCGTCATTGCACAAGGAATGAAAATAAGTAGCCGTAGTTAAAAATCTTAGCACTTTGTGTTGCACAATAAAATGGAGTCTCGGGTGTTTTCATCAGTGTTTTATCCATGTAATTCATTAAGTTGAGAAGAGAAATAGTTTGTAGCTTGCGGCAGTGGCCGTTTAGTTATTGGATCGTCTGGGTTTTGAGCATTAAGGAAACACTATTTTTCTTAGAGTTAAGAGGCAAGTAATGAGAAATATTTACTTTATGAAATGTCTTATAATTTTTAAGTACAATCAAACATGCCACACAAGCCTATTACTTGGTACTTTACTGTAACGATTGAGCATGTTCTACAAACAATTAAATATATTAATTATTTTCCTAGCCCATGTTTGGCTCTCATCTTCTAAAACTCATTTTTTCTTCAACTCATTTTCATTCACACATTTCATGGAATCAGCAACTTTTATCAAAATCTACTAAAAATATAATTTTTATTTAAACCAAACAGGAGCTTAATGCACATGGAATTATTTGACATTCTTACAAATGAATATTATAAAACACAATCAGACCAGCCATTCTTGGAGATGTGGGAAACCTTTGAAACGCAAATGAAATAGATTTCTTTAAATCCCAATTATCGAAGAATGCAACTTTTCCATGACAAATTCGCAAACCTCAATTTTTGCTAAAACATCAAAAGTGTTGCAATGTTTTGTACTATCAAATCAATAATCCACCAACTTGCAGCAGTAAACCACAGAGAGAGAGAGAGAGAGAGAGAGAGAGAGAGAGAGAGAGAGAGAGAGAGAGAGAGTTGACCGGGCGTCTTGTGGGTGAGCAACCTGCCCATGTCTTCACACGGTGAACGGGCGTTGAATTCTTTAATGAAATCATGCACCTTTGATGCAAATGCCACACCTCTGCAATTTTCTTACCATCTCCTATATAACAATTCTTGTATTATCGTACAATAAACACCAATGTTCACACATTTTGCAGGATTTTCATATAAAATTCAGTATTCTGTTACTTGTATAGAGTCCCTCTCCCATTTATAGATTTTCTTCCATATTTTAGCATAAATTATCTGTCAACTGTAACACAACTTTCCATTGGAACCATCTGTCTCCTCTGCCCGAGTTATATAATTCCATAAAATGGGTCGAATTCCATGCTGCGAGAAGGACAATGTGAAAAGGGGTCAATGGACTCCAGAAGAAGATCAAAAGCTTTCATCCTACATCGCTCAACATGGGACTCGTAACTGGCGTCTCATTCCTAAGCATGCCGGTCTTTTCCATACGCTGTATACTTTTCCATTATTAGATTCAGTTATGACATTGTTGGCATGTTCAGGATGCTCGACTGACTACCTTAGACAAGATTAAGAACTGTTCACTGGGTATCAAACATGCCAACAGTTCTTCAATAACCTTGTGAGCTGATTCATCATATTAATTCATGTCAGGTCTTCAGAGGTGTGGGAAAAGCTGTAGACTTCGATGGACGAACTACCTCCGTCCAGACCTTAAACATGGCCAATTCACAGAGGCAGAAGAACAGACTATTGTAACTCTTCATTCAGTCCTTGGAAACCGGTATCCAACATTTTTTTTTGATATTTCTCAAACAAGAATCTGGGTGAATCTGGAAATAATCCCAGAAACAGAACATATATCCTCCTCATCTAAGCTTGAACGGACACTTTTATATTCCCCCATTATTTCCAAGTGCTAATTGCTTAAATGACTGTCTGTAACAGATGGTCTGTAATTGCTGCTCAGCTGCCAGGACGCACAGACAATGATGTTAAAAATCACTGGAACACCAAGCTGAAGAAAAAGCTTTCAGGGATGGGAATTGATCCAGTTACCCACAAGCCCTTCTCCCATCTTATAAATGAAATCGCCACCACCCTTTCACCGCCACAAGTTCCGCATTTGGCTGAAGCCGCCCTCGGGTGTTTCAAGGATGAAATGCTCCACCTCCTCACCAAGAGACGTATCGACCTCCCGCTGCAGCAATATTCCCCGGCAATTCCTGTCAGCACAACCACTTGTGTTAAACACGAGGATAAGGATGAGACAATTGAGAAGACCAAGGCCATAAAAGAATCCGACGTGCTACCTATAAACAAGCCGTGGGACTACACTGGAGCAATGTCTACAAATTTTTCAGGAACATTCAGTTGTTTTCCAGCATCGGATTCTGGATATCACTATGGCCTTGCATCGCTCGGTAATGAAGGGAATGGATCTCCATGGAGCCAAAGTATGTGTATGGGAAGCACGTGCACAGCAGGAGACCAGCAAGTCTGCCTCAAGAAACCCGAGGGTGAAAATGGTGAAGACTCGGAGGGAAGAAAAGAAACACGAGATGGATCCATCATTATCAGTTCAGAATGTGTTTTGTGGGATATACCATCAGATGATTTGATCAATCATGTCGACTAAGAAATTTTACACGAATTACATATTTGGCACTGGACAAGACCAGAGAGTAAATAAACAAGATTGAAACTTCTTTTTCTCTTAATACTATCCAATACTAGAGCATATTTCTTGTTCAGGAAAATAGAGGACCATGGAGATGAGAAAAGAAGTGTATATACAACTTGCTGATGAATTACCTTGACAGGAAGATAATATACACTATTCCAATAATACCTTTCAGACTTTCCTTGTCTTTCTTGCTATGTATTTCAGACAGTCCTTCAAATTTTGACCTGCTAAGAAGTTAAGACATATATTAGCAAATGGTCGTGAGACCGAAATAACAAACCCCTATCAGGACAAGCAAAAAGCAGCAGGGAATCAAAACCATTGAATATTATAAAGAGTCAAAGACATCATTTGAGGGTTATTGGCAGCTTTTTAATTGACTAAATTAAATTCACAAATTTGATGCAATCAAATAAGCTTAAATGAAGGCATGGACCAATTGACACGTTTAAGCCTGCAAGTAGAATCTTCAGCACCGTGTCTATGTTCTTTGCAATCATCGTCGCGGTGTGATTCCCATGACCTTTGTCAGTGACCTAATAAGGTGCTAATGCTGAGTATAATACCAACAAACAACTGGAAAGGAAATCAGTTTTACGTACTAATTACTTTTGAGTGCATCATTCGTTACCAAAAAAAAAAAAGAACAGGCAAGGTTTTTTGGATAAATACCAGCATAAGAAAAACTCTTCATTCAAAAAAATAAAAAATAAAAAATAAAAAAGGCAAGCTTAAATGACAGAATTTTTAATGCAGTTTACAGTTGCATTGGTTATTCTTACGAGAGAGATGTTGACAGGATGAGTTCTCTTTTCTCTTTATATTTTTTTTTTTTTCAGTTTTTTGTCTTATTTTTTGTATATATTTAACTAGAAATAAGGGCTTTTAGTCTTTTATCAAAACTTTGACCTTTTAACCGTCAATTGTATGAAAACTGTTCATAAGGACCAATCCCGTTCATTAATTGAAAGTTTGGAATGTTTGTTCCAAGATTTAAACTTTAAAGATCATTTACAAGGCAACTTTATATGATGGGGACCATTTGTGCCAATTCTCCACATTTATTGATAAAATGAGATTTTTAAATTCATAGGATCTTAACAACTTAGGTATAAACTTAGCAACGACAAAATATCTGAACTCTATCAATTTTTTGATCCTTCTTTGAGAAGAAAATAGTAATTTTTATATTTGAACCTCTCGCACCGAACTTATAGTACACTTCCTTGAGACATGTAACTTTCAGGTGGCAAGATTGCCTGATTAGTGGAAGAGGGCACAATATTTCCCTTTTTATACACGATTATTGAGATTGCGTGACTATTAGACTGTGTAAGTTTGGGGTAATGGCTTCACCCCCTTGTAACTCTACGAGGTGAATGCCAATTCATATACGTCTTCTGCCACGTTTCATCTCAGTTGTAAAATGCATCTTATGGGTAAATACCAGTATAAGAAAAACTCTTCATTCGAAAATAAATTAAAAAGGCAAGCTTTTGATAATCTTTAGTCCTAACCGGAGTTTTACTCAGTCTTAACTAAAATATTAGGGTCATGCTACTTGTACTTGTTTGTTTACACTATGATTTACTCGGGCCCACCTCCTCCTCTCATATGCGAGTTTGACCCCACGTCATGACCCCCACATGGGACCCGACCTCATGTGAGAGGAGTGGTGGGGTCGAGTAACCCAAAGTGTCAACAAACAAGGACAAATAGCTTAATTCAAAGTGTCTCATAAACAAACAGTCTTGTCACCTGATGTAGTTGCAATCAAATCGGCATGCTTTGGATCCCAACACAACTGATCAACACTATTGGTATGCCCCTTTAGCTCAATGTCTTTAACCTTACCTTGCACAAGCAAATTAAACAACGTGCTAGCTGAAATCAACTCAAAAATCATAGAAGCCCTCTGCAACAGATACAGGATGAAGAGAATATGAAACTAGATAACGTTTGTCTTTCTAAAATATTGAATATGACTTAGATGTTTTCGAAATAATTAAAAATCTATTTAACCAGGTGTTGACACATAAAAATTCAGCCCAAATCGAACGGCTCAATGTCTTTAACCTTACCTTGCACAAGCAAATTAAACAACGTGCTAGCTGAAATCAACTCAAAAATCATAGAAGCCCTCTGCAACAGATACAGGATGAAGAGAATATGAAACTAGATAACGTTTGTCTTTCTAAAATATTGAATATGACTTAGATGTTTTCGAAATAATTAAAAATCTATTTAACCAGGTGTTGACACATAAAAATTCAGCCCAAATCGAACGGCCCAAAATGAAGCCCAATTGGAGGATCCCCAAATCAGATAGCCCAAAGAATGAAGCCCAATCAGACGATTCAATGAAGGCCCAAATAGGGAGGCCCGTGAACGCGGTAACACCATCGCCCAAACTTGCAAGTCGCCCAGGATCTGAGCGAATGGAATGCCATGCAGTTGCCCAGAGCTACTACTCTATTCTCGCCCAAACCTTTGAGTCGCCCAAGGACTTAGCAAACATGAAGTATTATGGTTATCAAGAAGCGCAGTTATCAAAGCAGTTATTAAGCAGCCCCATCACGTTTCACGATTCAAGGAATTCAATTGAAGACGGTTGAAAGACAAAGAGTAATGGCAGCAGTTAACAAAGGCAGTTCCATGCAAAGTTGGCCATTACGAAGAAAGTGGGCAGTTATAGAACGATCAAACAGTTTTTTAGGCGGTTGATCATACAGAGATCATCCAAGGAGTATAAAAGGAAGAAAAGACATAGAGCAAAAGACCCCGAATCAAAAATTCTCGAATAGAGAACATGTAATTTTAAATTTCTTAGTTTAGATTTAAACACTTCTTTCAGTAACTCGTGTGCTTACGCCCTTTGGAGGCATTTTGTTTTTAATTTCCAATTGTAAAGTCATCGCCAATAAAGAACG